GGTACCTGCAGGGACACCCACACGTCCCTCTTCGTTACGCGGAACGACACACGTGCCTCTCTTCAGTACGGCAAGGGCACGACACACGACGTCTTCTCTTCGTACGTCAGGGAAGCGACCACACGTCCTCTCTTCGTATCGGCAGGGACGAACACAGCCGTCCCTCTCTTCGTACGCAGGGAGCGACACCCGTCCTCCTCTCGTGCCGGCAGGGACTACACACGTCTCTCTTCGCTCACGGCAAGACGACACACTCCTCTCTTCGTACGGCAGGGAGCGACACCTCCTCTCTTCGTACGGCAGGGACGACACATGACACGTCCTCCTCTTCGTACGCAGGAGCGACCACGTCCTGGTTTGCGCAACCGCGTTTCGACACGTAATCATATCGGTCAAAATATCCGACCGTTTTCCTACCGTTCGGCGCTGCCTGTCAGCGCACGCTCAGCGTTGCTAGCTAAGTTCGTGACCTGCGCCACGTAAGCTCCGAAGCCCGTCTCGCGTGCAATCCGGCTAACGCATGACAATACGTCCCCTTTTGAGGAGTGGTGGCGTATGCAACCACTTACAGACCGACAGGCACGGGTTAGCCCGATGCCCCTCTCACGCGTGCGTCTTGCAGTGCCGCCGGTTAACGTGCCGGTGTAGCGTGAGCGAGTGCATCCGCCAAATTATATTGTGCATCTGGTGTCAGACTAAATACACACGCCCGTGACCCATGCTACATATGATATGACGCTACCTATGTATCTTGCCAACCCTAACCCTAATCCTAATCACAACAACAACAACACAGTACAGTAACAGAATCCAATCACGGGATGCCGAATATAATCATGGTTCTGTGAAGTTTACGTCTGCACCATGCGTATCGCGTTTGGTAGCACGTAATATAATCCTGACACGCTCACAAAAGTCAGCCCCAGGTATGCTTGTATGTTTTGGAACCTGTACGGCTGCAGCGCGAGCGAGCCATACGCATTAGTTTGGGGTTGGTCAACTTGTCTAACCGGCCAGGTAAGAGAGGGGATGGTGTCGGTTGCAGGATGAACTTTCGCCCCTAGAGGTAGGTTCTGGAATTACCCACGGCGCCCACACGATAGGCTAGGGCATGCGCGCTCACACCAACTCACCACTGCGTATCTTGCTTCGGCGCTGCGGTCTATCTTTGCTAGCATATTCCAGCACGGGCATGCCATACCCGCTGCGTGCTTTAATTTGCAGCACGCAGCTAAGGACCGCACCGAGTCCACATCTAAACTAGCGTTCCCTACCGACAATTCCTCTCTTCCTAACACACTCTTTTCATTCGAAGCGTCGGTATTGGTAACTTCCAATCCCCTGCGTGCCCGTGCCGAGCCATCGGCTTTGAATCTCGTTAAAGGCCAGTCGTGTTCTCGGCCAGTGCTAGCTTGTTCGCGACCCCTTCTTGCAGGGGGAGGCGGGAGAAGGAGGGCTGAGACGGAGCGCTAGATGGGGCGGGAAGACGGCGGAGAAGCGGAGGGGAAGGAGTGGGAGTAGGGAGGCCAGTGGGGCTCAGTAGGGTCTAGTCCCCCAGGTACTGCCGGAACGTAGGGCCTACCCTGGTAACTATTTGCTATGGTTAGACGTTAGGGTTAACGGAGTAGGCGTGGCGACTCCCTAGACTCGTTAGTGGAGTAAGCGAGTACGGTCCGGCATATTAATAGTACCAGGGTTCGTTCCGGTATACCGACCGTACCCCAAGGGTACGTTTCGGCAGTACGCTCTGGGGACATACACCCTCTCAGTCGCCAGTGGCGGAGATTGAGAAAAGAGAGAGCGAGAAAGAGAGTGAGTACACTAAATAAGAGAAAAATAAATCCATAGCACGAGAAGAGAGTGAGTATACTAAATAGAGAAAAATAAATCCCTAGCACGAGACCCGAGAATAAATACATGAGAAAATACATGTAAGAGAGAGAGAGAGAGAGAGAGAGAGAGAGAGAGAGAGAGAGAGACTGCCTGTTACCTTCTGTTGTTGTCAGGAGTGTATTATCTAGAGATCTTTACAACCTGTGGTTTTCAGTCAACTATAGTAACCTGCAGTACATAATCTCGTGTCGGTCAATGCTAGTGTCGCGCATGAGACGTACCCGGCTCATTGTATACGATCCTTGACTAGATATATCCTCAACTCCTGGCCTGGTTTTGATTGCTTCATGCTTTACCTTACAAGTGCCGTCACATGACTCACATGGTTTCTAAACCCAAACCCTAGCCCTAACTCTAACACTAACCTTAAACCTAATCCTAACTCTAGCCCTAAACCTATATATAACCCTAAACATAACCCTAACCATAATACTAACCTTACACTAACCATAGCCTTAGCCCTAACGGCTAACCCTAACCCTAAACCTAATCCTAACCCTAACATAACTATATAACCCTAATACTAATCCTAAACCTAATCATAAATATAACCTTAACCCTAAACATAACCCAACCCTAAACCTGATCCTAATCCTAAATATAACCCTAACCCTAAACGTAACCCCAACCCTAACACTAACCCTAACTCTAAACCTAACCCTAACCCTAACCTTATGCTAATAATGGCGTTAACATGTCATCTTTGCTGCGCGCAGGTCACGGTGAGTACAGTGAGCTGAAGGATGAGCTGGAGTTTTTCGCCATGTGCAAGAAGAGCACGAAGATCGTCTGCCAGTTCTACCGCGACTCGACGTTCCGCTGCAAGATCGTCGACAAGCACCTGGATGCGCTCGCGCGCTCGCACCCGGAGACGCGCTTCTGCAAGATTAACGCCGACAAGAGCATGTTCCTCGTGAAGCGGCTCAAGGTCAAGGTCATCCCGACTATCGTGCTCATCCGCGACGGGCAGTGCGTCGACTTTGTGATCGGCTTTGGCGACCTCGGCGGTACCGATGAGTTCACGACGGAGATGATGGAGTGGCGCATCGCACACGCCGGTGTCATCAACTACAGCGGCGACCTCGCCAACCCACCTGACCCGACTGTGACGAAGCCGACCCGACCCACGCTTGGCGTTGACCTCCGGAAGAAGACGATCCGGGGTCAGGACGATGACAACAGCTCAGACGATGACTGAAGCAGCACGTCGCACCCTGGTCACTGCTGCGATTGCATAGATGCAC